AGGCACTTGTAAAAATGCGAACTGACATACGTAGAATAGGTCAAGTTTGCTTAATGGATGCTCTTGTTTTCAACACCGAGCGCATGCCCATTATGCTGGTTAACTGGTTAGCCTAGAACACTCTCGAGCTATCATTTGCTTTGCAATCCTTGATGTTATCACGACAGGGATAGTTACAAAATTTGTAACGCTAAGATACATAAGAAAATGCGGTCTATTTAATCCTCGAACATGAAACGGTGCTTGATAACTGTTTTGTCTTCTACACACTTTAAAAATATGAGTGGGATGCCTAAATACTAGCAAGGCTTCTTCGGTTGTCGTTGGTTCGATATGTTTCATGGTTAATATAAATGTAGGTTGTTGGTGGTCTTAGTCACCTTTCCTTAACGATTGTGGACACCGTAAGTGAAGAACGACATGGCAAATTAAACTGATGAAACTATTTAAAAAAAAACGCCAGCTGGCGAGAGACTGACTAGCTGTCGATGCGTAAATATAGCTAGTAGCAAGATTGAGGATTTTAATCAGGGCCTTCAGATTACAAAGAGGTATGCTGTTAAACTCCGAAAATGTCAATACCCCAAAGTTACAGGAACAGATTACATGCGACTTAATGACAAAGACATCTAAAGCCCTTTCTGGTATGTAGTACTGTTTTCGGAAATATTGTTTTCAAACTTGAACTCGTGCTTGTAAACAGGCGGTAGAAATATATTGTACAGTCAATTCAGAAAATTTAGGTATTTAAAAAAACCTGATGCACCAAAAGTCTAATAGATTTCTGAAAATGGCGAAGCCTACGAGGAAAATCAGTAAAGTATGCAACTACTTACCACCTGTAAATTCGTTTGCACCTACAATGATAAGAGAAATAATAGACGAGTTTAGCGTTTATCATGGCTCGGAAGGATAGCGTACCAACTGCTTTGCATCAACTCCGCATATCTACATAGCAGCAAATAGTTAATAAAAACGTCAATAAAAAAACGGTAGTTAAAAGTCTTCTTTTAGTCCATCAGCTGAGGTGGTTGTATGGCCCACTTGAGGGGAACAAACGAAACTTGTATATTCTTAATCTTTGACTATTAAGCATCATAAAAATGTACGATAGCAAGCACAGAACGGTAGCTTTCACTTTGTAAATCGAATTTTAAATTTATCCCCAATACCCTCCTTTTGGTCGCCATCTTGGAATTCTTAAAAAACATTAAAAAGTGTTATTTTCTCATGTTTCTTTTCTTAGAGGCACACGATATTTTGCCTAGGCGTATATTGGGCATAATTAGTATCTTAGATATTATTTCAGTATTGTCTGTGGTTGTTCAAGCTATGATGACGTCATAAATTACGTCGCAATGGCCGCCACTTTGTTTTCTAGTTTATGTATTCAACCTCTATTNTTAGTATCTTAGATATTATTTCAGTATTGTCTGTGGTTGTTCAAGCTATGATGACGTCATAAATTACGTCGCAATGGCCGCCACTTTGTTTTCTAGTTTATGTATTCAACCTCTATTTTAACCATCTGAAATAACTAAATTACCAATAAGGTGCTCCACATCACAGTACTAGAAAAACACCTTTTCTACATTAAGTTAATGAAGCACACTACGCCATGAACCAATACACCATAACTCCAGGTATATACATGTAAATAGGTTCACACTTCAATATAGAGCTCGTTTGAGTACAGAAACGCCCCGATCGTATAACGCCCTTTGTCACTGCTGTCACTTGCATTTGGATCTATAACTTCTCACACTCACAAACAATTCATCAAGCCTAAACACGGTAAATCATGACCGTGACGGTGTTTGGATATCAGATTGTTTTAGCAGATATTATCACGATTTTATTTTTCTGTTTCTCCTTAGTTTTAGTTCCCATCGAAAAGTTCTATTAAACACTCCAGACTCTGTTTGAGCACCTTTCCAAACACCTCAAAAATTGTCAAAAATACTCCGCTACTAGCGTCGTATTTCAACTGTCTTCTCTGTAGTGACGGCTCCCTTCCAGATTGCTGCTTGATTATTTGCTCTTGTAACGCGACGTCATAGAGATGACTGGCATAGCA